AAAAAATAGTAAAAATACTGTTGACCATGTTCCAGACTTGGCTCAGTTAAGCAGGTATCTTGAAAACATTTTCAGTTATAGTTGCAGTAAACGCAGTCAAAACAAACTGAGCAGAGTCAGACACTAAAAAGTCGAAGCAGTCACTCAGGGCAAAACACTAAATCAAGCACATGCAAGTGACACCAGTTGAAAATTGTGTTTTTTTCTTTTCTTTTTTGTTTCTTTTTCTTCTTTTTTTAGACTTTCTTTTTAGTCAAGGAATTCCTTTCTCGGTAAACACAGATGTCTGTCCAAGCCAACATTCCTTGGTGCTAATTGGTACTGGCCGGGCCAAATGGTCACAGTTGTCAAATACAGGATAGACATAAGTAAAGAAATTAATAAGAACAAAAACAAGTAGTGAAACAAGACTGTCATCATGTATCAGAAAACAGGTAAAGTTCTCGTTAACACACCTGTAATATGCAACACATAATGAAATAATATCCTCTCAAAGTGAAGCACAGTAGGTAATTGGTTGGTTGATTGATTTTGTTAAATAGTATATCAACCTGTATGTGTTATTTAATGCCAAAATCTAAATATTTTAACACAATCTTATGGCAGCAAATAAATATATTTTGAATGCAATTGTATGACTTTAACAACAGATAAAATGTATTATTAGTCATTTAACTATAAATATGTATTGCTGGTATTTTTACTATAAAAATGAATTTTTATACTTTCATAGTATTTTATTTTTATTTGGGCGTTCCCTATTTGCCTGTAGCTGAGGGCCTAATAGATGCTACCACCCTGAGCCAGGGTGGGACCTGGGAACAACAACAGGTAAGGAGTGGTTCCATACACATTAAAACCTCCAATCTTCCAATCAGAGGCCTTGCTGCTGGATGTAGTTTATCATCAGACCTCGGACTATACAGTAGATAAGAATCTTTACAATGAAACATAACAGATACTACTCTCTTTCTCTCTCTCTTTCTCTCTCTCTCTCTCTCTATATATATATATATATATATATCCTTTTCTCTCTCTCTCTCTCTATATATATATATATATATATATATATATATATATATATATAGAGAGAGAGAGAGAGAGAAAGAGAGTGAGAGAGAGATATATAGATATATATATATGGGAGAAAATTATATATAAATTTTTATATAGCTTAAACAATGCTAGGAAAACTAATGACGCTGTGGAAAAAATGTTTACTCTTGTTTATAAATAGTTGTTGCAAAATAAAATTCTCACATTTGCTTTGATAAAGTTTGTCAGAGAACAAAATGTGTTGGCTAAGTTAAGTTTTCATGTCTTTATTGATATATATATATATATATAAATATATACATCCATCATGATAGACCACTTCAAACATCCAGCTTCCCAAATAAAACCAGGATAAAGACAAATGAAGCCTAACTACCACACAGACAACATATGAATTTCGGTTAGTTTACTCACAAATTCAAGCACAATACAAAGCACCTTGTCTGAAAAGTATAAAAATATTATAAAAAAATAAATAGACAGACATTGTTGATTCTTTTTTATCAAACTTGATTGGATGAATACCTGTCTCCTAAATGCACCTTATTCAAATATACAGTGTCTGATGGATAAATTGTCGCCTAAATTACACAATAATGAAAATAACTCAACATGGAGAACTACATAAGATGCCTTGATGAGGTAGTACTACCCTGGGTCAAGAGGGTGGCTGCTGAAAGATCCTTTGTCTGACATCAAGACTCTGCACCATGCCGCACATGCAGGAGAAACCAGTCATGGCTGCAATCACATTACCCCTCACAACTGGCCAGCTAACTCCCCAGACTGCAACCCCATTGATTATTATATGTGGGGCACAGTTGAGCAGGAGACCAACAAAACTCCTTGTAACAGAAAAAGATTATAGAAACATTCACCAACTTAAACAAGGAGACTCTCCAGAAGAGATTTCAAAGTCATCTGGAGGCCATAGTTGAAGAAACCGGCAATTTTATTGAATAAATTTACTCTTTAGTATTTCAAGATATTTTTGTGTAATTTTTGTAAATATATCTGTAAAATGAGATGTCAGTGTTATTTTTATTTTTGCATAATTTAAACAATCAATCATATCTTCTCACGAAATATCTTAACATAAACAATGGCAACATATAATGAAATGGATTAAGTCTGACAATTATTTAATATATTTAATTAATATATCATCAAAGATTCTGTGTTTATAAACAATAATTTGCACTCAATATCAGTGATAGAGCTAACATACTTAGTTATATATATATATATATATATATATATATATATATATATATATATATATATATATATATATATATATATATATGTATTCTGCTACTCAAACATCTTTTATTGATTGAGTAGATAGCCAGTTTTCATAAATAGTGAAAATTATGTCTACCAACCTGTGTAGTTAATAGTCTTAATAAAGACTATATGTTCTCCAGCAGGGTTCAAATCTGTTTCCTCTTTTGTAGTAGAAACGACCATCAAATCTGGCATGGTCACTGTGGCTGAGCAGTCTAAAGCATGCCGGATCAGACAATGGTTTCTCTTATAAAGAAAGATGCAGGTTCAAACCCAGCCAGAGACAACATTTTGTGTATTAAATCAAATGTGCAAGGTCAGTAGGCATAACTTACACTATTGCCAATTTAGTAATACGATTAAACACATGTGGTCCAGGTATCAAGGAGGAAACTCATCTGAACAATTGCCATGGAAATATTTGTAGAAAAGGCAGAGGGAAGCCATGTCAAATCAGTGAGAAAGTAGCTGAAGTCAAGATGCCAAGTCAGGATCAATTAAATCCTTCTTTGGATTTTGTGAAGAATCTCAACATATACAGTGAGAGCACCAGATCAGATCCATGCATGGACAAATGGTAGATTTATAAATGTGCAATAATGAGAAAAAATGTAATCTTATAAATGACAATTTTTTTTTATTCATTAGCACGTCTTGCACGTGGTGCTCATCCCTCTCCTCCATTTTACAATTGTGGTTCATGGTGACATTCAAGACAGATTAGTGTAGTGGCTTGCCAGTTCCTTTTGTTCCAGGAATGTTAAGGTTACCCCATCCCTCCTTTCTGAAGTGGATTTGTATCTGAAATTACCTTCTTCTAGCTTTTTGCTTAAAGATGCAGTACCTACAAAGTAGCAGGCAGTTTTGAATTCAGATTTTTTTTTCCTAGACTCTTTGCCACCCAAGGCTTTAGGATCCAATCTGTCCTGCTATTTTACCTATAAATAGGGGGAGAAGTGATGGACCCATACCATACCCAAGGATATTATCACATAAGTAAATGTAATGAACTCAATGGAAATTAGATCTTAGCTTTCTGATTCCTCAATCCGAGCCTGAATCCATTACTTCACTATGCCTCCATATGACTAATATCCATCTGAAAAATATCTATCTGAAAAAAAGGTTGAATTGATAAAACCTAAATGAATAAGATCTAAGACTCTCCAAGTTTTCACTATTTGAAATTTCTTTTTAACATCGGAGGCGTTTCCAGGTTACCTTGCTAGAATAGATTAAATCAAAAGATTAATATCGATAAACAGAAGCATTCTGCATCTTCTGAAGTCAGAGTACCTGTATAAATCTTTTTTTTTTCTAATCAGGCCTTACAAGACAAAGATCAAACAGGCAAGTACCTCTTAAAAGGAGGTATTGCTTCAAGTGCTTACTTGAGGTCATGTGACTTATAACACAGTTTATTGAGTGCCTGACAGGGCAAGTACTTTGATCAGATACAAACATAATCAAAAGATCATATAAGCATGGGAATACCTCTTTAAACATGGCCTTGTGCCATATTCCATTTAAGCAAAATGATTCTTTTTTTACTAAATGTTTATCCGATGCAAGGCTCGAAAGCAGCTCAAAGTAGAGGCTTATTAAATGAGATTGTGCTTTGAATCCAGGAGGTGGGAAGTAAGTGCAGGATAGATGACGGCTGATCTTAGACTTAAAGAGATTAAGATTGTAGTGTTTGGGGAAGTATCCCCTTAGGAGTCAGTTCCATAAAGTAGCACCTCTTGGGAAGAAATTTATCCAGCAGTCTCTAAAAACCAGCAATTTTGTTTTAAAGTCATGTTTTGTTTATATTCAGATAAGGTAATGTTGTTTTACAGGGTTGTATTAATAAATCAGCATCAATATGTCAGAACTATATAAATTGTTTAGGTAAAATATTTCGGAAAAGATTGAATTTAAGAAATTCTAAACAAAAAAAGAAAACATGATGCTTCGAGGCAATCCTATTGGTAATCTAAATTCTCACTAATAAAAATTTTTGTTAAAAGTGGAATAAAATTAGTAGAAGGAACTTTTTTAAGAAAATGAAAAGAAAAAAGACAATTATACATTAAAATCAGAAAGAGACAATTAAAATTTCTGGGATAACAGAATGAGAAAAGAAGGCCTGGAAAAGTTGGCACTCACAGAACATATTGATTAATTAATTGATTGTTTTTTCTGGGTTATCAACTGTTTAAAGCCAGAAAATATGCAAGAATTTTTTTTTTTTTTTGGGAGAGGTAATTGTTTTGTCACTACAATTCTTACTTACTTAGCTGGAGGGATAAGTGGATTTTTGCCTTTCCCAAGAGTACTTGCACATAAATGAATATAATAAACCCAACTGCAACTGAAACACGGCTTCACAATTTCCACTTCAGAGGTATTATCCATTACACCACCCACACATTCATGTTTGTAGCACCAGGTATTAATGAGCAATCACCCATTTAGGTACTGAATTGATTGAGTGATTGCTTTTTACACCTTATCAACCTATTTTTTTAGATTGTAAGAATTTGGAGCGGGGATAATAATGGTTTAGTAATACAAGTAGTACTGGGGGGGATGAAGAGGTGGATACATGCCTTTCCCAAGGACATTTATACACAATTGAATGTAGCAAACCCAATTTCGCCACCCATGCATCCAAGCTTACAGCACCTGGCATTCCCAAGTGATCTCTCATCTAGGTACTGACTAGGTTTGATGTTGCTTAACTTTGATGATCATATGGGAACTGGTGTTTCAACGTGATATGGCCATAATCAGCGTATGTTGAAAGCATGTGAGAAAGAGCAATTAACGTAACAAATAAATGGATGGCAGAACAGGGAATGGGGGTACTATTAAGAAGACAAATGTGCTAAGAGCTAAATAGAATAGGAAGTTGTGGAGAGTCATAACCGACCACGTTCTGAAGAAACATGTCACATAGAAAAAAATTGCTCATCTCTCTTTGGTGATATTTTAAATTCACAATACTTCTTCAGATGGGGCATTTTCACAATTATATAAAAGATGACAACGTTTTTTGAGGAAGGACAAAATCACTCTGTAAAGTCAACATCAAAGAAGATGAAGATATCTACTATAGTGATTTTTCTAGACACAATTTAACTACTATTTAACCCATAGCTGGGGGAGTTGGATTAATAATAATAATAAGGGATATATTGATACAGAATGTTGGGATAAAAAGCAACAATAAGATAGAAAAAGAAACATATAATAAACTAATAGTAAAATGAAGACTGTGTTGAGCCAGAGAGTTGAGATAAAAAACAACAGTAATAAAACAGAATAAAATTATTAATGAAATCATAGTACAGTGTAACCCGGATATAAGAGAGTTGTCTGGACCAGAGAAGAAGTCTCTTATATCCGGGTTTCTCTTATATCCGGGTTGGGTCTAAGTAGTAATAAATTAATAGTCCATGGGTATTTTAAAGTGTTCGTGCTTTTCGTATTTTATATACTTCAATAAGAATAATGACATGCGGAAAGTTCCTTAATGGTCCCAATGCGAGAACAAGTTGCAAACACTTAAACATACGCATAATATTATCTGATCACTGCTGATTTAATTAAAGTCACTCAGCAAAGGCTTCCTTCTCGCTTGGAATTGTCATCCATTTTATCTCAATTTAAGAAACCTGGCCTGAGCTGAGGTAGTCAATTCCATATTAGTGCCATTATTAGTGGAAGAAAGAAAGGAATCGTAGATATCTGCTCATTAACCTTACTCTAGTTCCCTCATACATTCTGAAACTGAAACCGCTGATCCTGATCAGGAGAGTACGGCTGATTGGATTGGCAAGATGGACTAATCCTCGTATTAAAGACGAGGGAGAACCACAATTGGGGCGCACGCCGGCCTCGATAAAGTTCCAAATGAGCGAGAATAATTGCCTCTTCATTAAATCAGTTCTCTGCAGTGCCCACCAATTTTGGACAATAAACCACCGATATTAGCCCTTAATGCATCCTTGCCTTGTTCCTCCACTTTACCAAGCTATGACCAATTAATACAAGCACTTGTGATAATCCTGATGACAGATAAGAATACTCACAGATCTGTTAATAACATGATAAAAAAAAAACACTTATCGGCACCAAGTACATCAATGCTTTTACTAATTTTTTTCTATCTGTACAAAGTACTGACAAAGTTTTTTTTCTATTAAGAGAAGTTTTGTAGGATTGACCCACCTTGTCTGCCAGGGAACTTCTCTTAATACCTGGTTGGTGTTGTATAAAGCAGTATATAAGGAAAGGATTCAATGCCTCTTTCATTTTTGCTTCTATTCAACCAGAGGAAGCCATATCTCCCCTCCTGGGAGAATTTTTATATGAAATTTATTAACTTATGTCTGCCAGGAGACTTCTCTTAACACCTGCTTGTGGTAGAATGGGGCATTGTATAAAGAAATACAAAATGAAAAGAAGTGAAATACTCTTTCTTTTTTTTTTTCTCTTCAACCAAAGGATGCAACAATGACAGGACTCCTCTCTTGGGAAACTTTTTATATGAAATTTATTAATTCATGTCTGCCAAGGGATTTCTCTTAACACTTGCTAGGTGGCAATCTATAAAGTATTATAAAGGAAATGACAAAACACCTTTCTCTTTTGTTTTGTTTTTTTTTACTTTAACCACAGGATACTGAAAAAGCATATCTCATTTCCATCAGAGGAGGTTTATTAGTTCACATGTAAACTGACACTTTAGTCTTAACTGAACCATGTGGCACATCTCTTTCTCTCTCTCTCTCTCTCTCTCTCTCTCTCTCACACACACACACACACACGCACACACACATACATATACATGGTTGTTCTGTTCTTTGAGGACATGTAATTTAACAGCTCTAACATCTTCCTTCTTCCAATTATCATTTCATTTCCGATAAATGATGACAAACATCAAGCTAACTCAGCAAATGAAAAGACACCCTGTAAACGTTTCATTAAAAGCAGAAATTCTTCTTTTATGTGCCGATCATGGCCCTCCACATCTTCCTGTCCTTTGTATCTCTTAATACTTTTTGTCTTTTTGTTATTTCTCCCTAAGCCTGTTCTACCATCCATTTACTCAAGTTCATCAAATATGTTACATACTCCTTTCCTCTGTCTTTTTTCCCTCTATCTGGCCTGTGAGTATCAGATTTTCCAAACCCTCCTTCCTCATTACGTGCTCCAGAAGTTTCAACTGCTGCTTTCTGTATAAGTTTCCTTTTGTTTCCATTCTCTTGAAAAACTTATCATAGTTCACATTTCTGTAGCCAAATGTAAAATGCCTGCTATCCTTATGTTATCAGAACACCCAAATATGTACAAAAGGTGTCAAAAATTCTCAGTAAGAAAATCAAGGAAGTTGAAAAGTGGTCTAAATCGTTGAATAGAGAGTATGATCAAAGAAAGACCATAAACCTACCAACAAGACTCTGCACCATCTTATAAGGCCAAGATGTCCCAATAGATGAGTTACAATCGCCACAATCATGTCATCCTAAAATGTATGGCCTCCTAGCTCACCAGATCTGAATCCCTTGAACTACTACGTATAATTTAATTAATTTGTAAATAAGTCCTGAAGGTCTAATTAAAATCTGAGAATTATTTAATTTTTGAAGAATTTCCACATTTTTTCACATTTGCTATGCTAATTTATATTTCACCTGCTGACGCAAGAAAAACAAAATTTGTAACCAAAATTTCAAACATTTTTAAAAAGGTTTAGAAAACATTAAAAATATGATGAAATAATCAAAAAATAGTTTTGTAATAATAAAGACCACTTCTTTGCAATGAAAAAAAAAAATTCCATTTTAAATTAACAAAAGAGCTAAAAAGTGAAATTATAGCTGATTGCCTATTATTTTTGCATGACCTTTCTTTATTATTATAGAAAGTACAAAACATCAAAGTATAGAGTTAGTAGATAATTTGTAATTAGTCTCACTGCCTTTAAAAAATCTGTTTTTAAAAAAATAACTTAAACATCTATTTAAAAATATAACTTAAATATCTATTTAAAAGAAACACAATATATGCCATGTTAAATATAGATTATTTAAATTATATTCCTAAATATGGTTAGGACAGACATATTCTTTCACTAATTTCCATTAATTCCTGACCCTGGACAATACCTTTCTTCTGGATTGTTAATGATATTTCTATAGCAAAAACATTATCAAGACAATATATATAATAGCTCTATTATGTCAGATACACTTCCAGTAATTTCTGACCATTGACAATCCCTTCCTTTTTGATTTTCAGTGCATATACTGACATCACCTATAACTCAAAGAGGAAATGATAACATAATTAAGATGTTGACATTCCACACCACTTCAAATTAAAAGGTAGGAAAGAAACTCCCATCAATACTGGAAAGAGTGACAACATCTATTGAACTTCAGAAAATCTATTTTCTTGAAAAATCATTTCAAGTAAAAGATTTTATAAACTATAATTTTTTGCAACACACTGATGCATGTTAAAATCTTCATTGTATTTAGTATTGTTGAAGTTATTGTTAACATTTTTTGTCAAGATTTACAAACTCTTCATTTCATTCAATTTCACAAACCAATCAGTGAAATTTGAATAAGCTAATCATTTGGTAAAATATTTTGACCGAAATCCTACTTTGCAGTTTAATAATTTCTTTAATTTAATTTAATTTTATAGGACTTCATGGTAAACCATATTTTTTAAGAAAATCTTTTTTTTTCCTTTTTAACAGTGAAGAATAAATTCTTAGGATTTCTTACTCTTGAGCATGCAGCATACAACTGGCCATGTGTAAATATTTTTTTCTGGAGCCAAATTTCAACTTTTTGATGTGTTCGGCCTTGTGATTTGTTTATATTCCTCACAAATGCAGGGCAAACTGGAAACTGGATTCTTGTATATAAAAATTTAAAGAAAAAATATGCAAAAAAAATATTTCATTTTTATTAAATAAGTATTTTTTTATCATTAAATTATTTTAAACTAGTGGGAGTATGTTTTATACTAAGTAATATAACTTAATTTTAAAAAAATAAAAATTAATGAAAATTTATTGTTCTAAGCTACACACTAACTTAAACTCAGCTCTCCAAGTTTTTGGGTGTTTCTTTTTTTTTGTTTGCCACTGCTGTAGCCTGGTATTGAACTTACAACTCTTTAGATCTAGTCACTGGCTACAATAGTGGTGAACCAAAAAATTACCTAGAGATCTGAGTTGAAGGGAAATAACTGAGACATCTGGAAGAGACATGGCTCGTGGAAGTAGAACAATCTATCCCAGTGGACAAAATAAAGAGTTCAGTTCAAAATTCCAATCCCCTGAAAAAGGCCAGAGTGTACAACTGCCAAAACGTTTTGAATATGGCATCTTAGAGATATAGACAGATATCGGTTAATATTACCATAAGAGATGAGAAGAACAGATGCTATGGTATGATTCTAGCTTGATAACCAAGGAGTGAAAAAAAGTATAACTCTAGTAGCACTGGTTGTTCGGTCAATGAATACTGCATGTTTCTTTATAAGGAAACAGCTAACATTACCATTAACAAAGAAAAAGAAATTTGTAGATTGTTTAAAAAGGTGTGTTTTAAAGCATGCTGGAATAAGTGTATGAGAGAAGTAAGTAAACTAAAGAAATCACTGCTACTTTTTTTTTTTTGTTAATATTACATAATTGGATCCTTTCCAGATGAACACTGAATCTGTTTTTCTACAATAGTCAATATTCTGAGGAATGAA